AGTGGCATCATCGATGGGCTCAAGCATGGCAACAATTGTGAGGTTGGCCCAGGATCGGGCAGTGTTTTGTTCTGTTGTGCATAGGGTTGTTATGAGTTGGTACCAACTCGATGGCACCTAACAGCAACAACAACAACAGCATGCATGTGGAGCTCATCAGATGAAATACACAGGAATCAAATTTACTACATCTGTGGGAAGAGAGGATCGAGAAGATCAATATCATGAGGCAAAACAAGGCCAGGACCGACTGTGGAACAAATCATTAATTCCTCATATGCAATTTCAGGCTAAAGCTGAAGAAAATTCCATGAGAACAAAAATGTGACCTTGAATATATACTACCAGAATTTAGAGACCGATGGTCTCTAAATCTCAAGAACAGATTTGATGCATTAGATACTAAATGACTGAAAACTGGAAGAGATGTGGGATGTCATCAAGACACCATATATGAAGAAAGCAAAAGGTCATTTAAAAGACAGAAAACAAAAGAAGACAAAAGTAGATATCAGAGAGACTCTGAAACTTGCTCTTGAGCATAGAGAAGCTAAACCAAATGGAAGAAATTAGGTAGTAAAAGAATTGAACAGAACATTTCAAAGGGCATCTCGAGAAGACAAAAGTCCAATATTATAATGGAATGTGCAAAAAGCTGGAGCCAGAAAACCAAACAGGAAGAACACACTCAGCATTCCTCAAGCTGAAAGAACTAAAGAAAAAATTCAAGCTTTGACTTGAAATACTGAAGGCTTCTATGGGCAAAATATTGAATAACACTGGAAACATCAAAAGAAGATGGAAGGAATACACAGACATTGTACCAAATGGTACGTTCATCTATTTCCAAAGGCAGCATATGCTCAAGAACAAATGGTACTAAAGGAGGAAGTCCAAGCTGCACTGAAGGCATTCATGAAGTACAAGACTTCTGGAAGTAAGAGAATACAGATTGAAATATTTCAACTAACTCATGCAGCACTGGAGACATTCACTTGTCTATGCCAAGAAATTTGAAAGACAGTTACCTGGTCAACCAATTGGAAGAGATCCATATTTCTGCCCATTCCCAATGGAATGTGGAAATCACTGAACAATATCATTAATGTCACATGCAAGTAAAACGTTGCTGAAAGTAATTGAAAAATGGTTGAAGCAGTCATTGACATGGAGATACCAGAAATGGAAGCCAGACTCAGAGAAGCATGTAAAATGACGTCATTGCTGACATCAGATGAATCTTGACTGAAAGCAGAAAATACTAGAAATACGTTTTCTTGTGTTTTATTGAGTATGCAAAGGAATTCAACTGTGTGGATCATAACAAACTATGAATAGTATTGTGAAGAATGGATATTCCAGAACTCTTAATTGTGCTCATGAGGGACTTGTATATAGACCAAGAGGCAGTTATTAGTACAGAACAAGGGGTACTGAATGATTTAAAATTAGGAAAGGTGTGTGTCAAGCTTGTATCCTTTCATCACCCTTATTTAATCTGTATGCTGAGCAAATAATCTGAGAATTTGAATTATATGAAGAAGAATGTTGCATCAAGATTGAAGGAAGAGTCATTAATAAACATATGCAGATGACACAATCTTGTTCCGTGAAAGCCAAGAGGAGTTGAAATACTTACCGATGAAGATCAAAGACCACAACCTTCAGTATGGATTTGTGCCTTAATGTAAAAAAAGACAAATATTCTTATGACTGGACCAATAAATAACATCGTGGTAAATGAAGAAAAATTGAAATTGTCAAAGACTTCAATTTGTTTGGGTTTACAATCAATGCTCATGGAAGCAGCAGTCAAGAAATCAAAAGAGCTATTGAATTAGGCAAATCTGTTGCAAAAGGTCTCTTTTAGGTGTTCATGAGCAAGCATGTCAGTTTGAGGGCTAAGATGCACCTGACCCAAGCCATGGTATTTTCAATCTCCTTGTATGCATGTACAAAAGTTGAACAATGAATAAGGAAGACCCATAGAAGAACTGAACTATGGTGTTGGCAAAAATTTTGAAAGTACCATGAACTGCCAGAACAAACCAATCTATGTTGGAAGAAGTAATGATGGCAATACTTCATCTTTTTTACTTTGGATATATTATGGACAGTCCCCAGAGACGGACATCTTGTTTGGAAAAGTAGCGTGTCAGTGAAAACAGGAAGACCACTAACAAGATGGACTGACGCAGTGGCAGCAACAATGAACAACTGTGAGGGTGGTGTAGCACTGA